ACTTTGAGATATCGAAGAGAAGAAGATTTCCAGATTGTGCATGGTTATTTGATGGGGCATCACACCACATGCAAGGATGCGATGATGAATGAGACTAAAGTCCACAGAGGATGTTAGCCAGCTTCAGATCACAAGAAGCAACAAAATCCTTAGGGTTAAGCTTGATGAGAGAGAGAACCTTTTGGACATTCAAATAGGTTTCAGATAAATCTTCAGCAATTGCAATGATAAGCTGATGATTGCAGCCACTATCTTTGGAAAAGTTTGTAGTCAATTTTTTCTTACATGGAGGAGGATCATCTTCACAAGGCATTTTCTCAATAGCTCCCAGTGTGACTTTCAGAAACCCACCACCAAATCAATGCCAAGTTTGATTAGTGGCTTAGTGAAGACTTTTTGTGACAAAAGAACTTCATTTATCAGTTCTTGCAGATCTTTACAGTGAACTACAAGTTTTTTGCCAATAACTCCATTGCCTTGTTCAGGTAGAATATCTGTTTGATCAAAAAATTTCACATTTGTGTTTGACAATCCAGTATTGATTTGCACTTGAACGAGATCCCCTGCAGTAACTAAGGATTTTGATCCAAAGAGTCTTCTTGCACTTAAAGGACCTATAAGTAAATATTTTGGCAATTTTATTTAAATTTTACAAAATGTTACAATTAAAGTAATTGACTTTTCTTAAGAATTGACCACATTTTTGGCATTGAGAACTAATAAAATTGAAAGCACATTTAATTATACTACAATAAAGTCATTTTTATCTGAGGTGACAGGTAAAGGTCGTCTACCTTTTGCTTGAGCCAGACGAATTGTTCCTTGAGGGGAAGCATCTGTGCCAGCTATTGCAGAGGCTGCAATTTGTTGAGCAACTGTGCTGTCATTTGATGCCAAAAGTCTCATATTTTCACGAAACTTAGCTTCAGTGCATACATGAGAAATTCGTTTCCCCAGAACCGAGGCGTTTGGAACATCTGTGGTCAGAGGTTGAATTTTTATTCACAGCTTTCTTTTCACATGTTGTCATTTTTCTGACTTTTTCAAGAGGATGGGATTCATTTAGCTTTAGATGCCCAACTTGACATATAATGCAATCACAGATCAGTCCGCTTGCAGGTCGTCTGACATTAATGGTTTCAAAGTCATAGAGTTTTGGCATGACAATCTCTTTTCTATCAAGTTTTCTGCGCAGTGTTGAATGACATCCTTCACAAATCCCAATTGGCGTTCGTTCATTTTCAAAGTTGACCTTTTGTTCAAACAAGCTTGAAATTTCCTATACTTAATGGTGAAAATGTCCTTGTACTTTTTTTCATGCACAAGAAACACACAGTTTTCCGGCAATCTTTGTGAGTTTTAGTTTGATTGGGCATTTTGAAAGACCAAATGATTCCAAAATCGTAAAAATGAGTGGCTCTTTGTTTTGATGTATTGAGAATAGCCCTTTGCTGTAATTTTAACACCAAAAACAACAAAAAGTCATTTTATGTAAGGAATACAGGTATACTCTTTTTGCAAAGTCATAAAAACAAAAAAACAATGTTTTAGTCATGTAATAATAAAATCATCACTCACTTAAACTTTTTTGTATACTGTAAAAATGCAATAAATAGTTATGCTGTCATTTGTCTAGTTGCTGTAATATAATAAAAATAAAAACTCCGAGACGAAATAGTTGGATTTCAAATTTTATATTTTTGAAATCCAGACATCAAGGGCTTTCATATGCACCCAGCCATTTCTCTGGGTCAGCTATATGCAGTTATCATGAGTTCTGGTTGGGGGTGAGAATGAAATGTACTTTTGACATCTAGTTAAGAAACAGTTGCTTTATTTAGTAGACTGTTTAATAGCATGTTATAACCTTTAGTGTTAACTGCACTGTACACGCGATTCGTAATAGTAAAAGTAGAGACAAAGTGACAATTTTTGTGTATTTTTTTCGAGAACGTTAGGGTTCATTAAAAGGTTTATTTATATTAGATAATATATAAAGTAAAAATTGTGTTGATGTTTTTGGGAAGTGCCCTTGTGTTTTGGTTTGCCACTCCTGCCTTTAGGCTCTTCCAGCGTGCCTGATTGTAATACGTATTGTTTTTAAAAAAAGGTTCTGGCAATAAGATTATTAGGATCTTTTATCAGATACCTTTTTTTATCGGCAAAAGTGTAAATAAATAAAAACAAATACCTTTGTTTGCATTTTAAAATAGTATATATAAATTTTTTTGTTATCTAGATTTTGATTTTATAAGTCTACGGATTTTACATGTTGTAAAGGATTTGATTATGTAATGCGAACACAAAAACAAAAAAAAAAAAAAAAAAAGTTTGACTTTTTGGGTTGATTTGATTGTCCACAGGGAAACTAAAATGTGCAGCCATGGCACAGTGGTAACCTCAGAAACTTGCCTCAAAAACAAAACCACTTGCCTAATAAACAAAGGATCCGTGGTTCAAACCCCACCTATTGGGAAGTTTTGCGACATTGGTTAGGAAGGAGGCGTGAATTTCCAATTAAATGCTCATCCGCGGTACTCTGTGAAGGACTTCTTGGGGCACCTAAATAAAATTTAAAAAAAAATTACAGGTAACTCTCCAAGACTGCGTTATCAAAAGTTTATATTGGTTATTTGATAGCCGCCTCACCACTAACATAACATAAGAAGTTGTTGTTTTTAGACATTTTTAACGCTGTAAAATCACGGACAAATAATCTAGGTGATTTTGCTAATATAGAAAAAAAGGAGGGAGGGGTCGGAGTAGATAAAGGGGAGATCACTGGCATTTCCGGTGCCGTCGGTACAGACAACAACAACAAGAGTTGTTGTCAGGGCAAATTGTTGTTATATATTTTAAATATATTTATTTGTAAAAAGTCTTATGCTTTATCTAAATTATTTTTTGACTGGATAATTAACTTTTGTATAATCAGGCTAAAAGAAGAGAATGACATGACATGACGAGCTGATATTTTTAGTTAGTTTATTATGAGAAACAAAAACTATAGTTTTTGTTTCTCATGTTTCTCAATTATTTTGTAAAATAATTTATGACCATAGTCATAAATTATTTTACGACTGCTGTTTGTTTTGTTTTGTTTTTTGTCCTTTATTAAAGGACAACACACTTAACAACAACAACAACAACAATATTAAAGACAAAAATCAGAAGAAAAGAAAGAAAACAAAAAAGTTTTTCTTCATAAATTTTAGACCATAAATTTGACAATTTAAAAAAAAAGAGTTTACTTTAAAAAAACAGATTTTAAACAAACTTAAACATTAAAAATAATTTTTAATTATTAGTTTTTAGAAAATATCTTTGATAATATACTTTTATCCTGAGGTAGTTAATGAAAAAGTTTTTTTACTTTGTTTTTATAAGAGAATATTTTAAAAATAGTTAAAAAGCATTTTTAGTTGTTAAATGTTTGAAATATGTTCTACAAAATTTATTTAGCACAAAAAGCACTGTTATTTTCCGAAATCTTAAACATATTATTTTTTTAAAACTTTGTTTTCTGTTTAAAGGGTAATTTAAAAATCTTAAAGACTCGTGGTTTGTCTTAAACTTAATATTCATTTTGATTTTCAATTAGGTTCATGGTTCATCTAACATTTAATTAAGTCTTTAAGTCAATAATGTAAAACTCTTTTTTAAAAAATTTAATTAGAAATAGTTAGCTGTAGTTAAACTGAAATTAACTTCTTTATCAGTGAAGAGATACAAGATTGATGGAAGATATTTGTCTGTTTTTCTCATATGTATATCAAACCCAATTTCTAACCTGTTACACTTGTGTCTGAATTTTTTTTTTTTTGTCATGATTTTAAACATTTTGAACTTAAAGGGGTATATAAAGTAAGAAATGAGTGAAGTTATCAAAAATGTTCAAAATATCCACAAAAACTTTTAAAAAAATTTTCTTTTATTTGAAACTTTATAAAATAAGTACTTATAGCTAAAAAAGAAACATTTATAAACATTTCATCTTAGTTACTTTGAATCATAGATTTATTTAATTTATATTTAATTTACAAAATGTTTAATTCAAAATAGTTTGATTATGAATATGAAAAGAGTTTGAGGTAATATAAACTTTTATCAATCTTAAATTTTAAATTTAACCTATCTAGATAATCCAGATATTAATATGTAAAAATCAGGAAAACCAGAGGTTTTTCACAGGCCATTAGTTGAAATATAATGAACTTAATATTTATTTAGTTGTACTATTTAACTATAGTATTTATATTATACGAAGTAATAATGAGAAGTAATAAAAGGTAAAAGGGGTTTAAAACATTTAGATATCATTCAAAATCCAGGAGTTTTTAGAAAAAAATTATTTTTTGATAAAGAAACTTTACAAAATAAGAAATCTAAAGTTTCCTGTTGCTGGAAATTTAAGACTAGTTATTATTACTTTTTAAACAAAAACAGGATGTTTCATGAATAAGTGGGTGTTTATATAAAGCATTCTTTTAATAAGAAAAGATTATTATTTGCATATGTTTTTCTTTCAAAGAAATAAAAATATAAAAAATGTTTGCTTGTAAAACATTTTGAATACTTTTAAAAAAAGTTAATGGTTAAAAATTGAGATTTCTTTTAAAAAAAAAAAAATTTTCTGTCATTTATTTCATAATCAGTCTATTTGAAATGCACATATATGTTTTTAGCAGTAAAAGTATTCAGCCATATAATCTATTAACGATTTAAATTGTAGATGGATTAAAATTTGTTGTTTTCTAAGTAATCAAGAACTTTTTAGCTTTTTAACTAATTTATTTTTTATATACTTTATTAAAGTGTTATGTTCTAAGCTATAATATATTCAAGTTAATGAATTTAATAGTTAACAAAATTCAAAATCTTTTTGAAAACTTTATAACAAATTTATGAGCCTTTTTTTTTAATCCACACCTTAGGATGTGTTATTGCATTTATGTGTATAGTTATTTGTTAATTTAAGTATATTTATACAGTTTTTAAAAATTGCTTATAGTAATATGTATGCATTTGTTTACAAGGTGATTATGCTCTCAAATGAAGATAGGTTATCTGAATTACAAATTCAAAAGCTCTTTCAAGCTATTGTCAAAAAAGATGTTGAAAAAGTTAAGAAGATTGTGCATAATGGAGTTCCTAATTTAGTTAATCTAGCAGGTGTTTAAATATTATAGTTGTTTAAATGGAAACTTAATTTGAAACCAAAGTTTTTGTTTTAGACAACTACTTTAAGAGAAATATTATAACATAAACATTATAATATGCTTGTTAAAAACAACAATTGTTTTAATAAAGAATAAACATAAGAAATACTGATGCATTTCTATTAAATATCTTAGTTTTATTGCTTTCAACAATTTAAAAACTGCTAATATAACTGAATGGCAAGTTCTTTAATTCATTTATATAATTTTTAAATGAAAGAAAAAAATATTAAAATGAAAAAATTGAACAATATTACTTTGTGAGCCTATCATTTCTTAATTGCGTCAAAGTATCTGATGGAACATTTTTACCTATGGTAGGTAGTTGGAATTATTGCTAAAAAATTGTAAGAAATTTTTTTCTATTTTCCTAAAATAGGTTGCCTAAAGTTAAACTTCAAAGGAATGTTCATTAGCAACCCACACATTCAGGTTACCAGCCCATATAAATGGCTTCAACAGAATGCTAGTTAGCATTCCACTTGTTCAGCCTAAAATAAATTCTGGGTAGCAGTCCAAGTATTCAAAAAATTAAAAAAATTCTCAAATTTTTGAAATGTGCTCATAACATGCAGAAAATATTCATGTCATGACTCATCAATCAAACAGTAGCGTAAAATAGTTTGAATATAATGATAACTTTAAGCATTTTGTTACTTTTTCTAAAATTTTATATTATCTTAACTATAAAAATGTTTGAATCTTTTGCTTAAAAAAATATATATTAAGCATTTTTTTTTTTTTGAAAAATATTTTTCAAAAGCTTTTAAGATTTTATCTGTATTTTAAGATATAGTTATATAAAGAAATCATATAAAAAGCAAATTATTAAAAAGAAAAAAAAAAGAAAATACAGATTTTATTTACAAGATTTCTGTTATTGCATACAAAACTTTATCAGCCCATGTCTTTCAAAATTAAACAAAAGATTGTCAGACAGATACTAACTTACATGTCAGTGACCAAGAATTTTGCTTAGATCAAAACTTTACAGCATACTGCTCTTCAGATTTGAAACAGCTTAACTATAAACACATTTAACTCATCCTCTTTAAAATGTTCTAAAAATGACTTAAGTTTGAACTTTTCTAAGACGCATTTTTGAATTTATTGATAACTCATTCAGTGCTTCTGAATTAATTCTCTAACAATGGTGCTCTAATTAATGTTATTGTTATGATAATTATTATTTTTGTTGTTGTTATTGTATAATTTTTTTATTCATTTTAATATTTATTATTGAGTAACAATAAGTTAAAAAAGATGTTTATAAAATTGTTTCATAAATTATTAGTATAGTTTTTTAGTATAATTACTTTTCATATAGAATTTTTTTAAATCTTTTTTGCATTTTGATCTTAGTTTTGTATTGTATTTATAATTTCATACTTTTTTTTATTTAGATCCTATTCAAGGTATATATAGCTTGCATTTGGCTGTTCGAACAAATAATGAAACATTAGTGAAAGTTTTGATAAATCTTGGTGCTGATTGCAATGTTAAAAGTTTGAAAGGATGTACACCTTTCATGGAAGCAGCATATTATGGACACATTCAAGCTTTAAAATTGTTGTTGGAATATTTTCCCAAAGCCAACCTAGCAGGTCACTAAGAAGTTTTGTTTATATTTTATAGTCAATATTTGAAAATAATGTCACACCATTTAAAAAGAACCAAGATATAAATGTTGTTTTGTTGCCTTTAAATATTTCTACCACTTTGTTTTAGTTATGTTTATAAATGATTACTTAATATGATGATTTAAAAATATCTAATTGAAATGAAAATAACTAGAGATATATTAGGTCTTGTTATAAGGCATTACAATATGTCAGTTTTATGTGTGTGTGTGTTTACATGTGTGTGTAAGTTCATCGCCATCATCAAAATCATTATCATCATCATCATCATCATCATCATCATCATCATCATCATCATCATCATCATCATCATCATCATCATCATCATCATTATCATCATCATCATCATCATCATACTTTTTTTTTTACAAATGATAAGATTATTAAAGTTTATCGGTATTTAAAAAAAAGATGAAAATTTTTATAAAGATTATTTTGAAAAGATTATTGACCTTATGAAAGTTATTACAATTTATATAGTTATATAATGATTAAAAATTTGGACTTTAATTTTTCTTCATAATTTATTTTAAATATAGCTTTCTATATTTCATTTTATTATAGATAAAACAATTGACAAAAATTTATATTACTTTACGTACTGTCATAGCCATAATTATAATTTAAAACTTGCCTGCTTTTATTTTTGTAATTTTTTGTTTATTTTTAGTAACCGATAATTTAGGTAAAAATGTTCTCCATTATTGCCTATATCCAACTAAAAGGCACACTCATTGTTTACGAAGTGTTATTAACTATGGCATTGATGTTGATTTAACTGTAAGAATTTTTATTTTTTTAATTAGTTTTGTTAAAAAAATTTATTTTAATAATTTAATAACCTCACATTTAGGGAAGGGGGGTTAAATTTGTTGGGCATTATTGTTCCCAGGTTCCAATCATTTCAATTATTTGCAAAATATTCAAAACATTTGATGTAAGTATAAAAATTAGTTATAAAACTATGAATGTTTAGATTAACATTTTTGGCATCATACTGAAATAGCCTGCTGCCTAAAGTTCAGTACATACATCGGCTATCTTATAGACTTCTGCTGCTGCAAGGGAGTGCCTCTAAAATAGGCTAACCTTGTGAGTTTTATTTCCATTTTGTTTAAACTCAAATTGAGATATGTGAGATAAAGTTGAACACAAGATTGTGAGGTTTGCAATAAAAAAAATCAAACATAGGATCAGGAGGTGCAAGAAAAAAAAAATCAAACACAATGTTATGATATTTGGAGTTGAGAGATTTTGAGCTTATGTAGTACTAGCATCTAGACTTTTTTTAATTTAAACTTTTTAAACTTTTTTATTAAAAAAATACACTTAAATAAATAAACAGATTTTGTTACTGATTTCATGTCAAAAAGAATGATAGTCATTGCATTTGAATCCACTAAAAACCTTTGGCTATTCTTTTTAAAAATATATACAAACTCTGTAAAGGATAGTTTACACTTTTAACTTTTTACATGTTTTTTATTGTTATTTTTTTTTACCACTCACTTGCAGGACTCAATGGCGCTTGAATCTGCCTCCCTATATATATATATATATATATATATATATATATATATATATATATATATATATATATATATATATATATATATATATATATACATATATATATATATATATATATATATATATATATATATATATATATATATATATATATATATATATATATATATATGTATATATATGTATATATATATATATATATATATATATATATATATATATGTATATATATATATTTATATATATATATATATATATATCTATATCTATATATCTATATATATATATACATATATATATATATATATATATATATATATATATATATATATATATATATATATATATATATATATATATATATATATATATATATATATATATATATATACAAGGTGACAACCATAAGGTGAAACACATTTTCGAACCCCAATCATTTATTAACCCCGTACCATATGACTTTCCCCTTGTTTACAGTTTGTTTTGACATTTGTTTAGAAAAAGTTTTAAAAATTTGAGGAAGAAAAAATGAGGGATTGTATGAAAAATACAGATCTAAATCCTATCTAGACCTAGGGAGCTGATAATTTCATTACACAAAAAAAATTTAAGTCAAGCTGATATTTGGAGATGCCTAAATGATATAAAAGTCAGCAAATCATTGATTAGTCAAACAATTTCTCGTTACAAAACTACTGGGCAAACAATTCCAGCTAAAACTAGAAAAAGAAAGCGCATCAAGCGCACTCCAGCAATCATCAAAGTGGTAAGAGAACGTTTACGAAGAAATCCTGCTCGCTCAGGTCGGCAGCTAGCTAAAGAGCTGAACATGTCATATGCCTCTATGCAAAAGGTTATAAAACAAGATTTAAGACTTAAGTGCTACCGTAAACAAAAAATTGCCGGCCTCACTGACAAAAACAAGGTGGAAAGAGTCAAGCGTTGCAAATCGCTATTGAAGCGGCACGGTGGTGCAGATATTGTTTTTTTGGACGAGAAAATGTTTACTTTGGAGTGCCCGTTGAACAGACAAAATGACAGAGTTTATGCTGTAAAGCTCTCTGATGTTCTTTTAAACGTTAGAACTGTCCCTCGTTATCAGAACGCTTCGGCAGTCATGGTATTCGGGGCCATTTTGAAAAAGGGGAAATTTCCTCTGAAATTTATCGATAGAGGGGTGAAAATCAACAAAGAATACTACTTACAGAATGTGATCAAAGATTTGATTGAACCTAAGGCTAAAGAAATGTATGGTAATGATCCATGGGTGTTCCAGCAAGAGTCTGCCCCTGCACACAAGGCTATTGTTGTTCAAGATTACTGCAAGCAAAATTTCCCAGATTTTATTGATATTAAAGAATGGCCTGCTTCGAGTCCTGACCTCAATCCCCTTGACTTCTTTGTCTGGGGATACATGCTACAAGAACTGGGGAAGCATAGATTAACAACTTTGGACCAATTATATATATATATATATATATATTGGACCAAATATATATATATATACATATATACAGCGGCAGATTTAAACGATGTTGAGTCCTGCAAGTGATAAGTAAAAAAAATAAATATTAAAAAACATATAAAAAGTTAAAAGTGTAAACTATGCTTTACAGAGATTGTATATATTTTTAAAAAGAATAGCCAGAGGTTTTTAGTGGATCTAAAGGCAATGAGTATCATTGTTTTTGACAGTAACAACATCTGTTTATTTAAGTGTATTTTTTCAATAAAAAAGTTTAAAAAATTTAAATTAAAAAAAGTTTAGATGCTAGAACTACATGAGCTCCAAATCTCTCAACTCCAAACTTCCTAACATTATGTTTGGCTTTTTTTTTCTTGCACCTCCTGATCCTATGTTTGATTTTTTTTATCACTATTTTTTTTATCACATTATCTCACATATCTCAATATGAGTTTTATATAAACAAACATGTATGTTTATGTTCTGTCTAAACCTCTGGCGCATTGTTGACAAACCTGTAAGTTGCTATCTTTATGTTTGCGCTCTGCCTGTTTATATTTATATGCATGTTTGTGTTCTGTCTGAACCTCTGGAGCAGTGTTGGTTCACCCATTAGGTACTTTAGATATGTATGTTTGTGTTCTGTCTGAACCTCTGACATGGTGTTTATTCACTTGTAAGTTACTATATGTATCTATGTATTCTGTTTAAGTTAAGTGCTTGCCATTTTCTTTCTCCTGAATCCATTCTTTACTTCAGAAAAGTCTCATTCTCTACAAACCTCTTATTTGTCCCTGTATGAAATACTGTTGTCATATTTAGACTAGTTCCTTTAATGATAGTCTTTCTCTTTTAGGCAAGATTCAAAAAACCATTGTAAATGTAGTTGGACCCGCTCTATTTGTTAAGCTTGAGCCACTTTCACATTGTTTCAAAGTTTTATCTCTTTCTCTTTTCTACAAATATTATCATAGTAGCAGCTCAAAGAAGCTATCATCTCTAGTTCCATCAACTAAAACTCTATCTTACTTGACTCGTCATTCAGCAAAGTCTTATTTTTTACTGTATCTGTCCCTGTATGCTCTAAAAACGTTTATTCATCTAGTTTTTTTCCCCACACTTCAACGCTTTGAAAATCTCTCCCATCTTCATGTTTTTCTAACTCATACAACCTTCATCTTTTTTAGTCTTCTGTCAACCGTTTTCTTGCTCTATAACTCTATAACACAAGCTATCATCTCTAGTTCCATCAACTAAAACTCAATCTCGCTTGACTTGTAATTCAGCTAAGTCTCATTCAGCAAGAAAAATTGGAAATTAATACTTATTTTAACCAAAAGAAGCTTAATAAATTAAAAAATCAGAATTAGTTTTTATATTGGATAAGAAAGTAGGTACCTTCTAAAAAGTTCTAAAAACAAATGTCCAAACTAAAATTATTTTATCCTAAAAATTTTTACTAAAATTATTTTATCCTAAACATGTCCTGCTGCCTTGTAGGATAAACTTTTTTAGACAAAGGCAAGGAGAAGCCAACTCTGACTTAAAACACCTTCTGCCTTGAGGCTCTTGGTTGAGTAAAGGCTAGAGATGGTGTCTCGATAAAAATACTCATCTTGGGCAGATGTTGAATGCATTCGGCTACTGTCTTGTACAAGGCTTCCTAGCAAAGACTTAAGGGGTAAACAGATTCTATCTGTTGACCAGCCTCTTACCCCTTCTTCATCTTTTAAGCTGGCACAGATGTATTTTTAATACATTGTTTCCAGTTTAGGATGTTGAATGCTGGATCTTCTTGACTCAATGCACGGGTTTTACTTGTGTTTCTGTTTTTATGACTAGGCAACTCATTATATTATCTCCTAATGAGGGTACAGCTCTAAAACTCAGTTTTATGGTTCTGAGGCCGGCTGGTAGTCAGGTTTTCCAAACTCTGTACTATTAAACACTATTAGAGTGGCTAATTCCATCAACAGCTGAAAAATATCAAAGTAGTAACAATGCCATGTTGCGCATGCATGGTGTCCCTGTTTGTACTTTTGGTGCACATCGTCAAGGCCACATTTGGAGCCCTTTGTTACAACTTAAGGTTTATTAATAGTAATGAGGCTTGGGCTATTAAACAGTGTACTGAGTACTATCTATTTTTTGAGTCAACTTCTTTAACAAATTAAAAATGTATAAATACCAATAACTATAAAACATAAAAAACCATTGTCATCACCAAGTTCCCTAAACCTATCATTCACTAATATCTGTGGTCTTCGAAGTAACTTTTCTTCTGTTGAGTCTTATCTCTTGCAAAGTTCACCAGACCTACTTACTTTTTGTGAGACTAATTTGAGTTCAGCCTCAAATTAGTCTCACAATGAAAAAAAAAAAGACTCTAATAGTCACATGCTTGGCCTATGCATTTACATTCTTAAGAATTTACTCATTTGTACCTATTCTTGAATCCACAGACTATTCTTTTATGTGCTTTCAATTAGCATCACTTCACTCTATCACCTTTTTCTTTATTCTATATCACTCTCCATTTCAAGACTGCACTTTATTTGATGTTATATCTGATCAAATTGAATGAGCCCTCTCTCTTTATCCATCAGCCAATATTGTTATTGTTGGTGATTTTGATGCTCATCACATTGAATGGCCTGGTTCAAATGTCAGTGACTCTGCAGGCATTAAAGCCCACAACTTGTGTCTTTCTTAATCCCTAACTCAAATAATCAACTTTCAAGCTCGCTTTCCAGACAACCCGAATCATTTACCTTCTCTACTCGACTAATGTCTTGTTTCTGATCCTAGTCAGTGCTCAGTTTCTCCACATTCACCTTTAGGTGTTTCTGATCACGGTTTGATCTCTCTAAAACTATCTCATTTTTCTTCATCATCTGAATCCCTCTATCATCGTACCTCTTTTTGTGATTTTTTTGTGATGGCCCTTGGGTAGAAATCTCTTTTCTTCCTGCTGAAAAATGTGCTTCTTACATAACTTCTTGGATTCAGGCTGGCATGGAATCTTTTATTCCCTCTCGATGATTCCAAGTTTCACTCTTCTCCATGGTTTTCCTCACATTGTGCTTCCATATCTATCAGGGAAACAATTCTCCAGAAAACAGACGTCTGGTTATTACTACAAGAAACCATTGTAAAAAGGTTTTGTTTAATGCTATTTGTCAATGTCTGCTATTCTCAGGTCATGAAATCTTGTATTTCATTGCAAAAATTAGGCTGGAAAATCTTTAACAGTATCAATAATAAGGGCAAATCTGTTGTTCCACCTCTCTTGTATAGTTCAGACTTTCTCACCTCACCTAAAGACAAAGCTGAATTGTTTGTTTAGAACTTTTCATCAATATCATCTCTTGATTCCACTAGTTGCGTTCTACCTGATATAGCTGTCAAATAGGTTGATCCATAGCTTGACATTCGTATCACTAAAGTGATTTCCTGCTTAGACTCTTCTACAGCTTGTGGCTCGGCCAACATACCTGTCATAGTCTTGCAGAAGTGTTCTCTAGAGCTGTTGTTTATACTTTCAAAACTATTCAATAAGTGCTTATCAGAGTCTTGTTTTCCAGCCTGCTAAAAAGCAGCATCTGTTATCCCTTTTTTCAAATATTCTGGAGAGCGATCTGATTCTTCTAACCACTATCATGCTGGTTTACTCCATAAGCTTTCTTCTTATGGTGTATCTGGTAACATCTTTAAAATTATTGAGTCTTTCCTTTCCAATTGTAGTATAAAAGATGTCCTCCATGGACAATCTTCTTTATATTCTGTAACTTCAGGGGTTCCTCAAGGTTTAATCCTTGGCCCTATACTCTTTTAAATTTACATTAATTATCTTCCAGATATTCTCAAATCTAAGGTGGCTTTGTTTGCTGATAATACTACCATTTATTCTTGTCATGATAAGAAGCCAACACTCTCTGATTGCTCGGAGGAGCATTTAAGCTTGAAAGGGATCTCACTTCTGCTACAGCATGAGGCTCACAGTGGCTGGTGAATTTTTATTCAGATAAAACTCAATTTCTAGGATTAACTTTTTTATTCAACTTCTAGGATTAACTTTTACTTTTTTTACCAATTTTTCTTGGAAACCTTATATCAAATCCGTTGCAAAATTAGCATCTGCTAAGATTGCATCTCTTTATCGAGCTCGACACTTTTTCACTCCGCATTCTATTCTCTATATCTATAAATCTCAAATCCAGCCTTGTACAGAATACTGTTGCCATATCTGGTGCGGATCTTCTAATGATGCCCTTTTCTCTTTTAGACAAGGTGCAAAAATGCATTGTAAACATAGTTAGACCTGCTCTTGCAGCCAATCTCCAACCAGTATCACATCGTCATAATGTTGCTTCTCTTTCTCTTTTCTGCAAATACAATAATGGGCACTGCTCTTAAGAGCTAGCATCTCTTGTGCCATCTACTAAAATTCATTCTTGTGTTATTTGGACTTAGCGTTTTGCAAATTGGTTCTAAATCAATTTACTTGGACTTGGCGCCTTTTGCAAATGGGCTCTTCAAATATAGACATTTAAAAATAGATTATAACAGTTTAAAATTTACTTTTAAAATATTTTTTCTACAATTTTTTTTTTCTATAATTTTTTTTATAGTTTTTTTTTTCTTTTAAAATGCTCTAAGAAAACCTAATTACAAAAACTGCAGTGAACCTCAGATGTTATTCCAAGTAATTTTACAGAACAACATTTAGACATTTTTATTAATGATCCTACAAAAGGAGAATATAAAAGGTCAACAAGTTTTTATACTAATTTACTACTGCTTTGTTCTGATTTATTACTTTTATTACTGCTTTTTTAAGAACATTAGGGGTTTATTTTGTATGTATGTATGTATGTATGTATGTATGTTTGTATGTATGTATGTATGTATGTATGTATGTATGTATGTATGTATGTATGTATGTATGTATGTATGTATGTATGTATTTATGTATGTATGTATGTATGTATGTATGTATGTATGTATGTATGTATGTATGTATGTATGTATGTATGTATGTATGTATGTATGTATGTATATATTTATACTCTATGTAGCAGCACTCCTTTCATTTTCTACCTTTGTCAGTCAATGTAGCAGTACTCCTCGCATGTTCTATCTGTTTTTCATTCCAGGTTTAATAAGTTGCGTTTTTGTGGTTTTTTAAAAAACTATAAAACTTAATGTGGCATACTTCTTAAGAATGTTTTTTTTTTCAATAATATCAGGGACCTGTCATATGTTTAAGTTTCTTGAGCAACCCTTTAAAATGTTTTTTTAATTCAGTATTATTTTGTTAAATAAAACTTATTTAAGGGTTGGGTATATCTGTTTAAAAAAAAAGATGTTTTAAGAAATATCCTAATATATATGTAAGCATATATATATACAAATAATTATGCTTGCTAAGCTATGCATAAAATGTAACTGTTAATGTCATACTGAAACAACAACAAATATTTTATAAATAATAGATAGATGACAAATCTGTTTTGATGTATGCTTGTCAAGATGGTCTTCAGGAGTCTGTAGGAATTCTCTTGGAAGCTGGTATTGATGTTAACAAACAAAACAAGGTTTAACCATTTTTAGTTTATCTTTTAGTTTTAATTAAATTTAAAGCACTTAATTTTAATTCTTTTTTTTATTTTTTTGTAAAAGTTTTTCATACAATTCGTAAAGAAAATGGTGCAAACCAGCAGTTTCTAGCCTGTGGGTTACGGCTTCAATTTGCCAGGGGTTGTAGACATTCTGTAAATGATTTACTCTAGACTAGTAGTTTCTTTTTATAAAATTAAATTTAAGTGATATTCTACACCTGCTACAGTCAATACCCTGAAGTGATGTACAATACTATAAGTATTGTACTTAAAGTATTTATAATTAATAAGCGTTTCACAAAATATTATTGTATAATTCAGACTCCACTGCAATTATATGCTTCTAACTTATTTCACATTCAATGTCTCAAATTTAATCTGCATTCAATATTGCATAAAAATAACATTGATATAGGTTGATTGTTTTTAAATGGTTGTGATCTAGGTTGTGATCATGGTTGTGATCAATTAAAATAAATATGCAAAGAAGTATAAAGCTAATGTAGATAAAATTTCATATAGACTCTTATTAAATTTTTGGGTTTATATTTTTAATTTAAAACTCTTGTAAAGTTTCTTTTGCAAAAAATTGTTTGCTAAACATTAGAACTTTTTAACTACTTTTTAGTATGCAATATAGTAACAGTTGCAATCCTCGGAATTAGAGTCGGCATTCGGCAATGCCGACCTAACTGCTGACCTGAAAGTGCTTGAGGTCAAAAAATTGCAGACCTTGTTTCTCTATTTTATTGTCAGACCTTTGTATCAAATAATTTTTGTCGGACCTGATGCCGACCTCAAAAAGATTAAGGTCGTCAATTTATTGCTGACCTCATTTTTCCTAATTCCGAGGGTTGCAGTTGCATTTTTTACTTTTTTTGATAACATACATAAGATTTATAAATTTTTATATTGATGAAATTTGCGTGAAATGAATCAGCAAGAAACAAGTATTAGCTAAAGAAAATATAGTGGTGAATTTTTAAAGTATGGCTTTACTTTCATTCAGCAGGAATTAAAAAGCCACATTTTTTATTTTTAAAAAAATTATGTCAGCCAAATCTACGAAGCCAAACAAACTGAAATACCATTTTGATCCTAAACATCCCAACTATGCAGGCAAGAATGTTAAGTATTTAAAAACAAAGTTGATGCTGTCAAGAAAAGCAGATTTGGTTCTGGTGGCTGGTACCAGCAGCAAAATGGTGGCTGGTACCAGCAGCAAAATGGTGGCTGGTACCAGCAGCAAAATGCAGCAGCCATTAAAGCTTAAAAAGAGTTTTTATTTGATGGCTTTCAAAACAGAAATTTGCTGAAAATTTGCTGATTCCAGCAACCAAATCATTGTTTGAGTTATGCTTAGAGTTAAATACGTTAACAAATTGAGTACAACACCCTTATCTAATAACACTGTCATTATAACAATAGATGAAAAGTAATGAAATCTGCTCTCCTTAGAATAATTTGCATCCAACCTAATGAATCAACAGATGTAGCAAACTGCTCTTAGATATTGGTTTATGTGAGGTATATTAATGAAATTTAAAGATGAATTTCTTTTTTGAAAACTAATTTAAATTACAAGTACTGCAATATTTTTGTTAAAGTTCTATCAAATATATTGCTTACATGGTTTTGTTCAAAATCATGACATCCCTTAGAAAATTGTTTGTGGCCCTTGCACTGATTGGGTTTTAAATAGTAACCTGTTTTCAAAACATTGTATTAATTTGGGTGTATCTAATAATGTTTTTTTTGTTTCACACTGATGTAAGGTGGTTGTTCAGGACTAAACTTTAGAACATGTGATTGATCTTCATGATGAATTAAAAACATCTTTTAATCAAAAATCTTAACCACACTTTAAAGCACTTTTTAGCAAAAGATGCAGCTTCACATAATTGTTTATTTGGTTGAAATCTCTCTAGTCTTCAATAAATTAGATTTATTGCTTCAAGGCCTAAATGCAACAGGCTTCATGCAGCATGCCTGAATTTATATAATACAAGTGAATCAGTAAAACAATCTAAAATAGTTGAAATAATAAATGGTTAAAAATTATATCTCTAAAATACTTTAATCTATTGTCCACTGAAAAAATAATTTTCTTTAACTTATTTTTAAAAACTGGAAAAGAAATTGATGAACCAAAGTTGAACTAAACAATTTTATTCAAAAGATAAGTGAATATGAATGAAGCATAATTAAATTAAGCAATGAATTAATTGAGTAAGATTAAATAGTTTTTGTAATTTAGGTGGGTGAAACTGCACTTCACATAGCATGTTTCTATGGTTTTAAAGAATGTGTTCGGTTGCTAATAAAATACGGTGCAAACCTCGGCATTTCTAATGCAAATGGTGAACGTGCTGTTCACAAGTAATTTTTATTTCTTAATACTATTAATTTTTTTTACTCTAATAAATTTTATTTTATTTATTTGAATTGAAAAAGTTTTTTTTATTTTAGTTTTAACCTGAATATCTTTTGACATTTTAGAGCAGCTTTAGGCGGATATTTAGGTATCCTCCAAGTCCTATCTGCTCACAATGCTGATATGAATGTTACTACAATTGAAAATGAAACTCCACTGCATTATGCTGCCAGCTACGGTCACCAAACTGTTTGCAAGTATTTGGTACAACGTGGTAAGTTGCTTTTAGTATGTGAAGATATATATAGAAGTCTACTAAATCTTGAGAAGGCAAATATATACATAGAGGTAAATCTCAGTTGTATGAGCAGATATTTTTTCTTTGAGATACTAAATTATGAAGCAATAAAAATGCTGTGTTTTTATAGTTGTAAAACAATTTGTTTCTTGGGAATGCAGGTGTTCAGTTGGTGTCAGATTTTTTTATAAAAAATTAAAATTCCAATGGATTAGAAAAAAGAATTAGGTGGTGAAGATTTATATTGGAGTCGTAGACATACTAGTTGTGGTTAATATTGTGGAAAAAAACTGCTTGACCAGGTAATAAAGAGTTGTTACTGATAAATTAAGTTTGGGTATTGGCCAGGAAAGGATTAAAGATGATCCACAAAATAAATTTTTTCAAAAGGTCTCTAGATGCACCTTTAAAAATCTTTTAACAGCGTGCAAAAAGTGGTAGTTTAATGGGCTTTAAGTTTTTTAGGTTTTGAAAAATGATTAATAAAAGTTATCATAGATATCTATTAAAATGTGACAGCAACAATCAGAACAAAAGATATAGAAAGTAATATTGTTTAAGTAAAGGTTGGTGCGCTTTAGGGTTTATTACTGAGTTTTTTGCTTTTTATTATTGTTTTAAAGGCTCTCTATAAAAAGTGTTGATATACCATGTGTTGATATGTACCAGTGTATCACCATATAATGATGTATACAGGTGTTGATTTACCCTGGAGTTTATTCTACACAGATGATTTATGCTTGATTACAGATAGAGAAAAAGTTCTTACTAATATTTAAGTGTTAAGTTATTTAAGTTAAGGATGGAATAATGGAAAAGCTTAGGATATACATAAGAAAGCTTAGGATATGCATAAGAAAGCTTAGGATATACATAAGAAAGCTTAGGATATACATAAGAAAGCTTAGGATATACATAAGACAAAATACATGCATTGTTATTGCAAGTTATTACAAAACTGGAGAAAAAAACAATGAAATTAGTTCTGATATCAAATAATAAAAAAAAAAACGTCTTTATTAATCACCAGTGTCAAACTGAGAAAGAAGGAATCTGTTTCTATGTCTACGCTTAGAAATTATCTTCTTTTAATTAATTGATTCCTCAAATAATAGACTCCTTTTATAACAGATTCAAATTTTATTAGATTCATATTTTTATCATGTAGGATTTCACATTTTTTGGTGACACACAAAAGGTTTAGTTTATGGATTGAATGCTTTAGATTGTTTGAGAATTTTCTACTTGACTATAGGATTTAAATAAGCTTCTTTTAACTATTGTAGTTGTTTTGAGAGATAGGTATCATTTTTGTATTTATAGATGATCAAAGATTTAACGTTAGCATATCTTTATTTAAACAGTTTAAGTTTCACTTATGCCAATGTTGGATTTTTAATTAGGAGAAGTATCCCAGTTAGCAGATAATACAGTTGCTTGATAATGTTGCTTACATTTATTGAATAATTGGATATAAGATTTTTATTTAAGCAGTTTTTTTGATTAGGTTTTGTTTTTGCTTGGTTTCTTTTTTGAGGTGATAATGCTTTTTTATATTTTATATGGACTTTATTTTATGGAGGGACAGTGTTTTGAAATATTTTTTTCTTAAAAGAATTTGCAGACAATGTAAGCTCAACAAAGTGTGGTATTTGTTTTAGTATACTTTGATTTGAATGATTTGAATCAGCATAGATTTAATTTTTTGTATTATCAGGTTTGAAATAATGTTGTGAAAAAAAAAGTGCAGTCACTGAGGTTTAGAGTAACATTGAGGTACTTGATAATTTTTATGTTGCACTGGAAAGATATGTGTGAGTCATTGCATTTTTAATTTTTCAACAATATGTTTTTTTATTTGTTCCATTTTAGGGCCACTTTTATTACTAAAATTTATCAAATCTATCACTGTATAAACCAAACTTAAATCTGTTAAAAAATTGTGAATTTTGAAAAAAGAAGAAATGTTTCTACTAGCTCATAAACTCTCATAAAATCTCACAAACTTCTGCACTGTCTAATGCTCACATATGTCATTGTTTCATCTGTTTTATCAAATAAAATAATTAAATTTAGTAATTATAACTTTGCCTCAGCCATAAGATGTGCTCTTGTTATCTTTAACATTGAGCTTGGCCTTGTTATTTTTGTTATTTCTAACAATAATGCAAAGAATAAAAACAAATCTTCATTTTAAAGATAGGCAAAGTTAGTTTTAAAAGACTTTTGTATCTAAATTAACTGACTTATCATGAATTTTGATTGATAGTATACACATAATATAAAAATTACAATAATATTAATCAAAATTTTCTTATATTAACGAAAATTAAAAAGTTTTAAAAAAGCATTATAAAAAATAACATTGACAGCAAACATTTTTGCAAACCAGAACCTCATACATTTCATTATATATAAAGATTGTTACTTTTATAAAAACACTGAAAGTATATTTTCTGCAATCATTTTTTATAAATCAAAGTTATTATTATTTTTAAATAGCCAGCATGTACCTAACCATATTTCAAAATATGACAAAAAACAGGTGAAACAGAAATTTTTTTATTAATTGAAACAAAAAATACAAGCTTACAAAAAGCAACATCAATTTCTCTTGAAAACAAAAATCTAAAATCTAAAAAAATGCAGCAGTAATGAAAAGTCAAGTTATGCAATTTTGCAACTATTAAAGCTTTTAAAAAACATTATTTTTTAAAAAACTGCGAAGAATATCATTCCAAATATTCACCTGTTTTTACCTTTAAAATTTTATGAAAGCAATAAATAAAATTTAGCAAGTGATAACAAAGTTAGATTTTGTGCTTAAAGGCTTTTTGGTTATCATCTTTGTAAGACACTTTTATTTATAATATATATATTTTATAATTATATATTTTTTTATTTGATAAAAATTGTTAATTTTCAAATTTAACTAAAATTTAAATGAAATTTTGTAGTTGTCCTTAGTTCATCAAATCGTAATATAGGTTTTGAATATTGTTTATTGCTGTAATTGATGTATATTTTTTAAAGGTTGTTTTGCAAACGTCAAGAATAAAAATGGTCTTACTGCAACAAATCTTGCAAAGGAAAATGGTTTTAAAGAAGCCATGAAAGTGTGTAAGAAAGAGGAAAACATGAGAGATTTAATACAGTTCTCGAAGTTGTATTTGATAAAGGTAATTTTGACTGGCGCTATCAACTCACTGATTGACAAAATTAATAAGTGAATTAAATGGACTGAGTATTAAGTTATACAAATTAAAATGAAGAAAATTTGTTTTTATAAAATATTCGTAATGATAATACTAATATTAAAAATAATCTGTGAACTGTTATTGTAAATTGTGTTAAAATTTTATGACTGGATGTTATGAACACAATGCAAATTAGCTTTTTCATGAATATAAGAATGTTATCTGGGTATTTATTATGCATCACATTACACCAATTAAATTACAATTTAATTTTCAAGGGAGTTTTTTTTTTGAAATCACCTTATATCTCTGCAATAAGAAATACTGGTAAGCTAATAATTTACAAAAAATCATCTTATTGAGTGTTTCAGAAAAAAATACAGAAAAAAAGTTAAATCCAGATTAGATAATTATTAAATTCATTATATCAGTGTTCAGCCATGAAGTACCTTCTATTGTTTAAAGGGGTGCAAAAGAGTTAACAATGTGTGTAGCATTTGCAGTAAATATTTTAGTTTATATAATTCAATTTATGGTGAGAATTAATTTTTAAAACGATGCTTCTTTATTCTTTTGACATTTAAATGATCATTAAAGTAACTTTTCATAATTTCAATAAAATGATTTAATTGGATATAATGAATTGATGAATACCAAATCTTCTTGATTCTACTCATACATTTTTGTCGCCTCCTTGAAAGTAAGCACTTATTTCTGTTATCTCTTAATGAGGAAAAAGCTCTAAAACTTAGTTTAAATGAGGCTAGCTGGTAGTAGGGTTTCTTGAACTGGGGGCTCTTACAGAGGCTGATTCCATTAACAGCTGTAAAATATTAGAGTATTAGCAGTGCTATGTTGCACCTCGATGGTATCACTGTTAGTGATTTTGGTGTGCATTGTCAAGGCTGTATTATGAGGTTGTAGTTATAACTTCAAGTTAAATAACAATACTGAGGTTATTGCATAGCAATTGGTTGGGGTGCTATACTTCATCTATGATTGAATAAAATCCTCTTTAACTTAAAACATGACTAAAATGCCTAAAAATATTTAACATAAAAACACTATCAATGCTACCTAACTGTTTTATTTATTTTTTACGAATATTTGCGGTCTTTGAAGTAGGGTATGGAAGCTTTTTTTTATCTTGTCAGTTTTAAGTCTCAAATCTACTCCATGGTTTTTGCCTTCTTGGTCTTGCGCAACTAATATCAAAATAATTTTTTTAAACTTTTTCACAAGAACAACTCTCTTGAGAGCAAACATATTTTCATTATTGCAAAAAGTTGATTTAAAAAGATGCTGTCTGATTCTAAGCTCCATTATTCCCAGTTTACCGAATTTTATCTCAGATGTTAGGCCCTAAAGACTTTGGGTCATGCCATTACCAGTGTCATTAACAATGATATTGGTTGAATATAATAAAGTTAAGTACCCTTTAATTGTTAATTACTCAAAAACTATTTAACAATTTTTACTGTTATACTTATGTTATTTACATTAATGATATTTCTCACAATCTTGCATCTAAAGTGTCTGTTTGCTGATGACTAGAATTGATACTCCTGTCTTGACAAAAGGAATTCCCTTTTTGATTGCTTTGAACAGGCATTCTAGCTTAGATCCACAACTATATAATCTGACAATTTCAACCTAGGAGTCATTTTATATATATATATATATATATATATATATATATATATATATATATATATATATATATATATATATATATATATATATATATATATATATATATATATATATATATATATATATATATATATATATATATATGTATATATATATATATATATATATATATATATATATATATGTATATATATATATATATATATATATACATTCAACACAATAGTAAATTTGACATGTTTCCTAATATAATTATTATATTTTTAAAAGATTAATTTAACAATAAAGTTCTGGAATTAATAAAAGACTATAGAGAGAAATAATAACTGACAAAAAACACAGGCCCTTAGGAACAAAAATTATATTGGGGAGGGGGGGCAGTAGTACCCTAAAATAGTTTTGTGGACATTTTTTTTTATTTTTAGTCATTTTTCCAGTCAATTTCTTCAAAATTATTTATTTGAAAATTTATTTGGGGGAGGGGGGCAAATGCCCCACTGCCCCCCCTCCTAATTGCTATGGGCCTGAAATATACATGATAAACCAATATAATAATTACAAAATAACTCAGTAAATAACTAATCAATATAATCAAAATAAAATAAACTGTCATTTTAACTAAATAGATAAGTTAATGGTATAATAGAAAGTTTATTTATTGTGACTGTATTTTATGTGACTGATTTTCCCATTTAATAAGGAGTGCTTGTTTTTAAAAATATTTTCTTATTCTACCCTACTACAACATTTAAGAAATAGGCTGCTGCTACAAAGAAGTGCTGCTACATTGACAAAGAGTTTGTGATGGGGCAGCAATCTTTTCTTTTATTATTTTTTATTTTTTTTCTTCTTTTTCTGGAAAATTAAAGCGCATGTCTTTACGTTAAGAGATATCATATTATGGTATTAATGTTATTAGGAAATTGCATCCTTAGCTATAAATTAGTCGTAGTATGTATAAATATATATATATATATATATATATATATATATATATATAAATATATGTATATATATATAAATATAAATATATATATATATATATATATATATATATATATATATATATATATATATATATATATATATATATATATATATATATATATATATAAATATATATATATATACATATATATATATAAATATATATATATATTTATATATATATTTATATATATATATTTATATATATATATATTTATATATTTTTTTAAAATGCATGGTTATATATATATATTTATATATATATATATTTATACATTTTTTTAAAATGCATGGTTGTCAGAAAGTTTTTCCATATTTTGTTGACATAAAAATTTAAATGCAAGACCGGAAAAATTTTTTTTTTAAAATTATATGATAGACTGCCTGCCCAAACCAAACTCTCAGTCGATGTAGCAGCACTCCATTGCAAGTCAGGCTATAAGATAGTTGATGTAGCAACAATCGCGCATGATATACAGTAAAAAAATTAAAACATTTTATTTTAAAAATAAAAATAAAGGCATTGTTTGAATTTTTAAAAACATTTTGGTAAATTAAATTTGCGTTTTTGCGGTTTTTAAAAAAAATGATTAATCTGCAATTAAATTAATGCTTTTAACTTTATGACAATATGGAAATGTTGTATAAAATCAAAAGTAATTAAAAGTGACATATTTGTTGTCAAAAGAATCATTTTTTACCTTCCATACTCTTAAAGCCAACAATTTATAGAACTATATAAATATATATATGTATATGTATATATATATATATATATATATATATATATATATATATATATATATATATATATATATATATATATATATATATATATATATATATATATATATATATATATATATATATATATATATATATATATATATATATATATATATATATATATTAAGGGTATACCAGATATTAAATTTAAATTCCGGCCAGAAACGTAGTTTGCCGGAATTGGTTATAAATGTATATAATTGGTTATGTATGTATATAAATTATTTCATTTATTTGATTCTTGTTTCATTCAAGTCTAATATGTTATTTTTATTTGTTTCTTATAATTTTATTTGTTGAAAGTTTTAACCTGCATAATATTTATATTTACAATTATTTTTTTGTTTTCTATTTTTTTTTTACCATTTAGGTTAAAATTGAAATATTTACTGTATTAGGCGTCCTATACTTTTTAATTATTTAAAATTTAAGAAACATTAAAAATGATACTGTTCTCAGAGGCAAGTAAAATTTTTGATGAAAAAAGAGCTTGTTTGTTGCCCAAAACTGGAAAGCAACTCTTTTTGCACCACAATATTCCTAAACGTCTAGAAATCCTTACATAATTGATTACTGCAAATAAAATTACATTGTGTTTGTTAAGAATTTTTTTTTTTTTACCTAGGTTTACCTATAGTTCTTTATTGCCCTGTAGGACAACAATTTTTTTATTTAACTTACACAGTCTGTGTAACATGTCTAAAAAAAAAGGTAAAAAATAAATTCTGGCATTCAGGTCTGAAATTGTGTAATTCGGTCCGGAACCGAAATAACCTAAAAGTCACAAATTCCGGCTGGAACAGAATTCTGGTTCATCCCTATTGCGATTTTTAATGCTATTTAACACAATAAAACAGCAAAATTAGGCATATTCTGTCTTAACTACCTTTCTTATTTGAAAATATACATCAATACTTGTCTTATAAAAAAAATCAGTTCAAAATATTGACATTATTACCTCCCCCAAGCCTTTCAAATATAGTCATTTTTGGACAATTTTTTTTAATTAAAAGGGATCTAGGGGAAGCACAGTAGTGGTCCAATCAAGCTAATTTTTTTCCAAAGTTAGTTTTAACACCAATGTCCCACATTTCAAGAAGTTGTTAATTGAAATTCAAAAATTTCCTCAAAAGCATGTACCCTAATGTATATATATATATATATATATATATATATATATATATTAATCTTTTTGATTTCTTATAGCTTTATGATTGGAATGTTGAATATCAGTTATTAATTGAACGCAAGATGCAAGAATGTGGTGTAAATGAAAGTATTGATAACATTGGCAAAATAAACATTCATCAATTTTTAGACGTTCTGTTGTTATTCAGTAAGTTTTTTCCAACTAATTATTATTTTTATAGCCTTTAACAGTTACTTCTTCTTTCATGTTTCTTAGAGAAACTGTCCAGCTTTGAGCATTTAAATCTTTAATAACTTTTGCAATCAAAGTTTCATCTTAGGACTGCAATATTGAAACTGGTATTGTATATGGCAGTCAGCAGAGTGCTAATTGGAATGAAAAATGTTGTAATTTTTAAAGATAAATAATTTTATTTATTACTGTTAAAATAGTATTATAAAAGGTTGTATATATTTTTAAAGTTATATGTTACTATTATTAAAAAAATATTATATTTTGTTAAAAAAACTTATAAATAAATTTTGCCAATAGTTTTAACTTTATTTATTTAGTTTTTCAAAAGAATAAAGAAAGTGTTATAGATATAATGATTAAAAACTTTTACTTAATATTTATAATGATATTGTTATTGGCGATTCATAATAAAATGCCTAAAACTGCATATGTAATGTACTGCTTGATATAGAAGTTGACAGCCGACCTAGGCACCATGGCTTTTTTCTTTTAAGGTTCAATAAGAGTTAAAGAACAAGAAAACATTCCTCATAAAAATCTGTAAGTTAGAAAATCATAACATGGCGTGAGGGAATTCAAAGCCATTTATTTATGAAAAAAAAACTAAATAATTACAAGGTTTTTAAACAATAAGGGAGTGGCTACAGTAAAAGAATGCAACTTAGCTGATTGACTAGTCATGCAAGATTGAGTTTTAATGTTACATGGAGAAAAAAATGTTAATATTTTAAGAAAAGAGTAAGGCACTAACAATCTAGAGTAAATCAGACAAATTTTCCATAGTTTTTTGGACCTTGTCTAAAATCCATCAGAAACTGTTTAAAAACCTTAAACTGTCATAATCTTTCATAATCAGCCCACATAAGAGATTAATAAAGCTAGGAAATAACTTAGGAGTAAGTAAATGGCAAAGAAGATATATTTAAAGAGTCTGAGATGTGAGATAGAGGAGTTGGTAAGAGTGTTGCAGTTTTTTAGCATACTTAGTGATGAGCTAGCCTTAGTATTAGGATGTGAAACTAGATTCATCACTTAAATTATTTATTTGCAACAATGGCGAGGTCATGCTTATAGATGGTCTTGTTAAATCTCCCTTTGTTGCTAAGGCACTTGGTCACAATATATATTATGTGCAAGCATGATAAGATATCAATAAAAACAGTGTTGAGGTAGTTGCTAATTCTATTGTTAAGTTTTCCAATTTTTTTCTGAAACTCATGCTTTAGGTGTGTTCCTATTTGACCTTGTAGAACTCCGCTAAGTAGTGTTTACAACTCTTTGAGTGTGGCTGTTTAAGAAAACTGTTATCCAGCTTCAGGTACTTGTGTTGAAGCCATAGTTACAAG